GTTAGCTATTATGAGAAACAGTTGAGTAGATTTATTGAATTTTAGAAATAAATAATAGCATACAAGTTGTATTTAATTCTGTGGTGTGTGTCAGTATACACACACACATACATATACATACATACATACATACATACATACATACATACATAATTTGTATGCTTATTTGGGTCTATATGAATAGAGATAAGACTGTAAGCCAAATAGCCCAGTATGATTTACTTAGGCTTGCAGCTGTTTGGAGTATCCAGCACAGGTCCTCATCCTTTTGAATAAGAGCTCTGCTTTGTCACTGTCACTATCCTCTTGGTCTGACCTGCCAAGAAATTAATTTCCAGATACAAAGATTTGCCAAGACTTTAGATCCAGTTTGTTTGATCTATACATCAAACCCTCCTCTTCTTCTAGGAGTTACACAATTGTGCAGGGTCAAGTATACATAGATAGAGGTACATACTCCCTCAGACTCCAATCTTAAACATAAAAGGTAGGATTGTTCATTTTGTGAAGGCTGAAACATGGCCTCTGTTGACCTCTCATGTTATGAGGGAAAGGCCCTTTGTAGTTTTGGCAGGAGAATTTCAGATCAGCCCAATACAGAGAACAAATCAGTCTTCCCCTACCTTATATGCTGCAAAATGGTAGGGATTTCAACTTTCAGTATTCATAGCCAACATGGATCACACTGGCTGGAATGCTGGGAGTGGTACTTGTGTTATACAAGTACTGTATATGCATTACTAGTGGGCCCCAATTTGGGGTAGGTTGGAGTACTTTTCATTATTTTTAAGCCTGAGATACAATCAGATATGTCTATATGAGGTAAATCAATAGACTGTTTATGATGAATAGTTCTAAAAACTAAGAACCTTACCTTTTAGGAGAAGAAGAAGAAGAAGAACCGGAGATGCCTGTTGGGCCCCGTCCTCGCCCTATGTCTGAACTGCACCTCAAGGAGAAAGCCGTGCCAATGCCAGAAGCCAGTGCTTTTTTCATCTTCAGTCCCAGCAACAGGTATGTTGTTTTTTGTATGACCTTCTGCAACCACAAAAACAGTTCCAATAACATGCTTCTAAGAAAGTGTGGGAAGGTATATGTTTTGTAGTCTGTCTGCTTCCATCCAGGTCTGCTCAATGGATAACTCTATGATATAGGAAAGTCTATACCATTATCACTGATCTCCCAGAACTTTTATAAGATTCACATAATTTCTAGTTGGAAAGCGGAAAAGAAAAACAATCTATCTCAAAGTAGAGTTACTCTGTGAAGAAAAGGTTTCTTGGTTTATAACAGGGAGGGATGAGAAACACAATCTAGCCCAAAGGTCGGCTTGCTGCCATGAAAACCCTACTGGCCTTGATGACATAAATGATTGGGGCTTTAGGGAAGGGAAGTCTTGCCTCCAATCCATAAAAATCCTCATCTGAATCTTCAGCAGAATGGTTTGATTAACAGTAATGAAGGGAGAGGCCAACTTGTGTGTTCTCTAGGTATCATGGAACAATTCCCAGAATTCCCAACCAACAGGATTATTGCTGAGAATTTGGGGAGTGGAGTCTACACATTTGGGCAATACCTATGTCAGGGAAGGAAAGGCTGCCCTACAAACTTGATAGGCCAGGCTAACAATAGATGCATTCTCCCCAGTTTTAATGTAGCTGACTGCTTTGGAAAAAGGAAGCGATATTTTGACTCAGCAAAATCTCTTTGATTTTTCTTGGTGAGACATTAACTATTACAAAAAGCAGTTCATTATGTTAGAGTCTGTGTTATAGCTTAATGGCTATTTAAGATGGAGCCAAAACTAGGAATAAAAGTCCATGACCACACCGGCCATGCTGAGCCCCCAAACTCCTCTTTCTGCTCCCCAGATATCCTTGCCATCAACTATGCTGGAAAATTTGGTAGCAAATGTTGAATTTAAGCAGTAGATTTTCCGTTCTTTTAAACACTTTTAAAAGTGGGAAATGCCAGTAACCCTGACAAATTGTTGCACAACTGACCCAGTATCACCCACCAACAGAGTTAAGAAAAAAATACACATACAGACAAACGTGCTCCCTAGACATCAAAAGATTGTCTACCTCTGCCCCAAAGTAGTGAAATTATCATAGATATGAGAAGTATAGCTGAGTAGAAATAAGAGCTTGGGAAAATTGGAAGCAAAATTTAAATGCTTTTCCAATTATCATTCTGTATCCATTCACAACAAAATCTTATGGCCATTATCTTATTCAGCTAACTCTGCCTAATGGATTACAAGACTCCACACCCTATTGAAAAAGCAGTACAGTATTCTCCCCCTCCCCCCAAAAAAATCCTGTAAAACCCATTTTATTTTCTTAAAGAAAGAAGAACTGTACTGATTTATTTAAAGGATTTTACTAGGGTCTTCAGTTCAAAAGGCTCCCAACTGGCTTAGGTGAGTTCAATAACAAAGTCCCTCTGTTCAGATTTACAATCTAAGATATGTAACAAGAAAGGAAAGAGGGAGAAGAGAGGAGAAAAGAGGACAGAACAACAAAAACAACAGAACCTGAAATCAAACAACAGTTCTTAAAAGCTCTCTCCATAGGTGTGTATCTTTATGACATAAGAACATTAAAACTGCAGCAGTTCCTTCACAAAATACTAATACTGAATATTCCTATTATATTTATTGGGTTCCACCCTGGAATTCTTTCACTGGAGTGGGGAGGAAAATACAGAGTGGGGTGATATGGCATTACTGGGGAAGGGAGTTCTTTTCCATCCCTGTTCTCAGGTTTAGTTGCTAAAGAGATGTTTAAATTATCAGCTATCATTGCCTCTATCTGCTGCCTCCCCAAAATCTTTTCTCCATGATTTGATTATAGAAAAATAAGCCCAACAGATGTTGAAAAGGGTCCCACACATGGCTTACCAATAACTGGCAGGAAGGATAACTTTACAATCCACACTTTATAAATTCAAAAGAAAACAAAAAAGACTTACTGTAAAACAACAATAAGTAATTACAATACTGCACAATAATAGCTTGCATCAAATAAATAAAGCAGTGCATAAATGAAGTCCAGTCCTGGGAATACTTACTAATTGAAAGAAGATCTAGGGGAGGAAATGGTTAATATTTTACTCCTATCAGCCAACCTTTGAGACTTCACAAATCTCATCTAGCAAGGAAGGTAGTCCCAAAATATGTCTAATATCACAGATGTCATAAATCACAGTCATGATTTGATCTTTTATTCCCTAGAAAAGTTGAAAGTCATTAGTAGGAATCTGTTTATGATCTATTTGTCCTGGTTCTCTCAGTGAGGTGGCAAATTTGTGACTGGGTGGTTTCACTTCAGATTACTGATGAAGATTCATACGGTCAAATGTTCTCTGTTTGTGTTGGCATCTGACATACAAATAAGCTTATGAAATCAAGGGGTTGAGATAAAACATTGTTCTCTATAATATCTGATGAGTAAGACTGTCTCTCCCCCTTCTCTCTCTCTTTTTCTTTTCAGGTTTCGGGTCCACTGCCATCGCATCGTTAATAATAACATTTTCACCAACCTGATCCTCTTTTTCATCTTGCTCAGCAGCATCTCTCTGGCAGCTGAAGACCCAGTTCGGCACTACTCTGTCAGAAATCAAGTATGCCTTCCAACCTCCTCCCTTCTCTGCAGATTATTCAGAATGAAGTTCAGAGGCCAGATTACCAATGTTTACCAAGTTCCCCATGCTGCCTGATCTAAATTAATGCCTAAACAGAAATAGTTATCAGTGTTGGTAGTATACCCCACACACACATACACACACACAATTTTGTGTAAATTAGTCTAGAATTCATATTCAATTAAGCAGTTGATCTGATATATTTTTATTTGCTTCTGGAACTCAGAATTTTATTTTGATAAAGTTTATGTGGCCAAATATATATAAAGAAACAAATGACAAAGAGACAGCAATATGGTGTGCGTTCTAGGGAATCAACCACAAAGAGGCTTCTAAGGATCCCTGACCCTACCAATAGAACTGTATTTGCAGTAGATCCCTAAAAAGAAGAATGGGCATTACAGCTGCTACTTGAACATACCTATCAGAAGTGACTCTCACTGAAATCAGAGAGATCTACTTCAAGTAGACTTATATATGATTGCACTGCAAACTATTTTTGAGTCCTTACACAGCAACATAGGAAACTTCCTTGTACTGAGTTAGGCCACCAGTCCATTTACCTCAATTTTTCCCTCTTTGTAGATTTTCAAGCAGATGTTTTTACAGCCATATCTAGAAATGCCAAGGATTGAACTGGGGCATCCTGTATGTAAAACATGTCATCCTGCATTCAAGTGTGATTTAATGTAGATATCCTTGAATAGTGTAGGTCCGGATATAATCTAAACCATGTTTCTCAACCTTAGCAACTTTAAGTTGTGTGGACTTCAACTCCCAGAATTCTCCAGCCAGGCTGGAGTCCACACATCTTAAAGTTGCCAAGGATGAGAAACATGGATCTAAACCATTCTCTGCAGTCATGCAACCCAGAAACATGTTTTGTTTTTCAAAGGAAGCTAAAACATTCTAGGGCCACAGCAGATGGCAGCAAATTTGACTGATCTCAAAATCTATGCAAGGTCAGACCAAGTTCATACTTGGATGACAGATAATCAGGAAATCCCAGTGCTGTAGGCTAGTCAAAAATACATCCCAGGAGACAAGGGCAAGCCACTACAGAGTAGTCCAGCTCCCTTTAAAATTATCATGTTCTATTTTGGATCTTAAATTCTATAAAAGAGTTGCAAATGGGCAGAATATTCACATCTGCTCTATCTGGCAGTTTCAGCTAGGAGGTCTTTATACCAGAACCTTCGTTTCAGATTCGTCTGTGCTGAAAATGCAAGAACAGACATATGTGGAAATATTTCCAAAAGTATCATTTAGGTTACAAGAAATCATAGATATTTCCAACCCCCTCCACGGTCTTTATAATGTTCCTTTAACACACCATTCAGAAAAGGGCAAACTTCATCCTGTCTGTATTGTTTACAGAAAGGAAAATCCAAGGAAATTAGAAACAACCTACTCTTGATTAAGTCTGTTTGTAAAATTATATTCACTGTTAACAAGAAGTCTGTGTTAAGTGTTTTCTGAGTGGGTTGTAAAAAGCAAAACATGACAGCTTTGGGTATCTGTTACTTCATATGCTGCATTAGTAAGGTATTTTGAATCACATGGCAAAAGTATAATTTAATGGGCTAATAATTCTCAGTATTTATACAGCAGAAATTACAGGTGTAATCATGCATAAAATAACTAGATAATTATGAGCATTTAAGGCTGCAATTCTATTCCCATTTACTTCAGAATAAACATAATTGAACTCAGTGGGATTAAATTTACAGAAGAAACATGCATAAGAACAAGGTGCAAGATTTCTCCCACTTTTAAGCATAATTTGCAGTTTACTTCAGTGGAGAGATACTCCCTCTAAAGCAGTGTTTCTTTTTCTTGGGGGGGGGGGCTGGGGAATTATGGAACTTGAAGTCCACACGTCTTAAAGTTGCTGAGATTGAGAAACACAGCTCTAAAGAATCTTGAAGTTTAAAAGTAGCACGTGGCATTTACCCTTATTTATTTTGTCAGTTGAGCCAGGTTTGTAAATTAAAAAGCTACCAATATTTTTATGCTATGTAAAAGCTTCCAGAAGTATTAGTCAGGCAGCTGATCTCTATGTTAAAATTAATGGGAAGTTTGCAAGTTCTGTACATACATCAGCAGGTGTTCAGCGCTCAGAACAGAACACCTGTGTTCAGTATTAGCATAGAAAGATTGTCAAAATGCAGAATTTGTCTCTATTCCAAAAATCCACTTTGGAATGAGAGATCAGATAGCTTAACCTCCCAATATATAATGCTTTGTTCGTTCATATTTTCACCTTCTGCCAGAATATTGAATTATACTGTCTCTATAAGGTTGTTGTCGCAATGGTGGTATCAACAGATAAAAATGTATATGGTGGTTCATACATACACCATGATTAGGAGTGTTCAGTTATGCAGGCCTTTACTGCAGAGGTCTTGCTATATATACGTAGTAGATTCCATAGCAGAATTTGAATAAGATTCCTTTAATATTCTTCCTGAGTCCATATTCCAATGCGATGTATTCCAGATTGTTCAATAGTGTGGCCAGTTCTTCGAACATTCTCTTTTCATCAAGTGGGAATTTTATTTTGCAAGGTAATTCAGCTAAATAAGATTTAAAACAGAATGAATGTGACATCTGATTATCACCAGTAAGCAAGAATCAGTTTGCAGTTGTTTTATAATAATTTCCATTCAGCATATACTTTGTTTTATGCACTAGGCATATCCTAAAGATTGCTTTCAATTCAAGATTGCCACCCCATGCACCAGTATCATGCCAGTCTGGAAACAGAAGCAGCTGCAAATCCAGTATGATCAGAGGATTATACTAGGTTCCCTAATTTTTTTACTGTGGTATTGTTTTGAAGCATTTCTAAATTCATAGGCACTCCATAAGAGCAATTCAAATTGTGGTGTCTTGACCTGCATTGTTTAATTTTTGTAATGATGTAAATTATTTATATTGTCCAGCTATTTAATTTGTTATTTATTGTATATTTAGTGAATGCACAAAAATAGGGCCACTTCCAAACTTTTTTAAATGGAGTAATTAAGAACTATTGTTGTGAACTCAACAAAATAGCTCCAAAACTGCATTGTGCTATGCTAAACTGAGCTTTAATCCGGTCGTGTTTAATTGCGCTGGCATAGAATTTGGCCCATAAAGCTTAAAAGCTGGGAGGAAAGATCAATTGGGTGAAACAGCCTTTCTTCCTGTCTTACTTAACAACTGTTCCTTCCCATATCTTTACACATGTTCCATCCAATCAGCTTCTCATTTGTGAAGTGATGAGTTTCTGTGCTTCCCTCAGAGACAATAAACCTGTGAAGTTTAATCAGACTAACTATAAAATTAAAAAGAGCACGATTAACAACATTCAGGGAACAGATCATTCGATAGCTAACCAAGAGCTATTTTGGCATTTTGTTTACATATAATCAAATCTATCCCCACTTGAGGATCAGATAGAGCTACACTGCACTTTGCAGTCTAATCTTAACTCTGTTTACCCAAGTAAGTCTCACTGATTTGAATGGGAATTATGCTTAGGACCATGATTTGTTTTAAACCATCTCAGTTTGAGCGTGGCTTTATAGCAACATAGGATCATTCAATAAATAAATCTTAGGCAGCTTGGCTTTGAAAATATGGCTTTGTTTACATTGATAATAAGACACAGACACACATAAGAAGAAAAAAGGGAGGAAGAGAGGGAGGGAAGGAAGGAAGGAAGGAAACATTTTCCACCAGAGATCAAGTATAATTTTCTGGCCAGGATTTTAATTTAGGAATTATTGCAAATATCTGCTGTTTGACAGAAATAGTACTTTGCTTTGTCATGAAAGCACACATGACAAAATAGTGAACAAAGAAAACTGTTATTTAAATGTTATAGCTCGATCATTGCCTTCACTAAAAAGTTGCAGTCACTCACTATCACAGCTCCTTAATATAGCTACTCTTTTTGATTTTATATTGTGATTTGGTTTTATGGTGTTCACTCACATACCTTCCTTCTCCCTGCACCCATTCCCTTTTGTTTTACAGATTCTCTTTTATTTTGATATATTTTTTACTGTCATTTTCACCATTGAAATTGCTCTGAAGGTAAAGTCCCATCTCCCTTTCATTCTCTTCCCACTAATTATCTGCTGCTCTCTGTTGCTAACCCACGCACCTGTTTGTGTTTTGGCCATGCTCAGTGATCACTAACCCAACTGTGCTTATTTTTCAGATCCTAGGCAATGCAGATTATGTCTTCACTAGTATCTTTACATTAGAAATTATTCTTAAGGTAACCAACCTGAGCATTATGTGCTCCCTCTTGCTTTCTGCTCTGTTGTTTTGTATTGCTTTAAATCCCCAGTGTTTTCTCCGTAGGTAGGGTGTCCTTTGTGGCTCGGTTGTGACTGTGCATGTCTTAGAAACTGATCCATTTTGAATATTGCAGTCTCATTTATTAGTATATTTGTTAATCCTTAGTATGTAGTAACCAAATTGTTCAGGAAGCCCACAAAAGAATGAATGTCCTGGAACACCACATTTGTTCATTTCAGGCAGCAATACCTGTACACCACACAGAAGAGGACTCTGAGATCAGCTCTCCTAATATCCTTATATCGCTCTTCACCTAAAACCAAAAAAACACACATTATAACCTGTCATTGTGAACTTGAGGTCTGACATGAGTCAGACTATTTAGAGTACAGTTTCTATTTTGTATGCCTTGTAGTGCTAAATTGGCTCTAGGGAGCAGAATTTCTACCTAACCGACCAGGAATTCCTAGCAATCAAGTGATGCTTAGGGCGTGCTAGTGTAGGCAAATTCAAGAGAAGCCAAGACTCCTTCAATATTTCTGTAGAAAATGGAATGGTATTAAAGGTAACCTGCTATGATAAGTTACTCTTGCTGAAATAGCCTATACTATACACAACTATTGAAACAGGAGCAAACTTTAGCCACCTTGGAACTGCAAAAAATGAAGACAAGGGAAATCACTAAATCCCTATCAGGCCATAGTAAGTGGCTAATAAGCTTGATAGATTATAGATTGTTCAGGATGTTGGAGAGGAACTAGGAGAAAGTCTGGAAAGGAATCCCCTGACTGGGTTTCTTCTAGCGTACTGAACCAAAAAATTACTCCATCGCATTTTAACCTTGTGTGTTGGTGATTCCAATCTGGATGGGTCATGCAGGTCCAGAAAACTGGGTTAATTAAGTAAGCTGTGGCTAGGTAAACTGAGGTGAGTATCCTGTAAAGACAGCCACTGAAGATTACATCACCTTTCAGTAATGTTCTTCCATAACATTAGCAGCATCAGAGTTTAAAGGATCATATTCCCTTCTATCTTGTAACTTTGCCCTGATATATAGAAGACCACAGATAACTAGAGCAAGTGGCATAGTTCTGAATTCCACATAGTATATCCTCTAAGGGCAATTCCCCTTTAGCTTTCACAGGACTATAATGTGCCCCAAATGCTGCAAAACAAAAGCCTCCAATGTTTCTATTTATTTCTGCCAATAATCTTCTCTTAGCTTAGAAATAAACTAGTCCTGGCCTCGGACATTAAACCTGAGAGATAATAGAACAGGGTTGCGCCTGCTATCGCTCCATTGGTGAAACAACCTCATCCTTGGTTAGTCTACTTCTAACTGGGAATACTTGTATAATGGTATCTATGTGATTTCCCAAGAGAAACATATCTACAGGAGACTACGTGAAAGAGCATTAAAACATTCAGAGGCAGAAGAAAGAAAATAAAAATAAGTTCCCTCTCTCATTTTACAATAGCCATTGGCTGTCATTATGTTCGGGATCTCACTATGGGTTTTTTCCCCTAAATAATTTTCCAAAATTATTATGCATGGATAGAACCTTCTAGGGATTGGGTCCAAAATTTTACCGTTGGCCAAGATCAGTGTAATTAACAGCATTTTATTATCCCCCAAAGTGGTCATTGTCAATCCTAATTTTGGGGCACCTAAGAATGTCTTCCAACACTACTTGGTGAAGTGTTAACCTTTCCACCAGCCTATATAAAATTGATAAAAATGTCCAAGTAACATCGCCCTACAGTTAATGGAAGATGTAGATTAAGGACAAAATTACAATTACCTGTGTCTGCTTTTTAAAAAGACGACCCTAAATTCAAGACAAATTTTCCTTCATACCGAAAAAGAAAAAAGGAAGATTGGCCAGGAAAAAAAAAAAATCATCTATCTACATTACCACCTTCCTGGGACATCTAAGAAAACTCTCCCATTTTAAAAGTAAATTATTTGAGTGGAAAATCTAGTATTCCTTTCAGGTAAATACAAGAAAAGAAATGGTCTGATTAGACAATATCCTACCTGAGAAAAGCTACTCTGATCAATATGAAATTTTCAATCAGAGCTGAGTATAATTTGTGTTTTATGCTTTTTAAAAGTACCCTATAAACAGAGAAAACCCTTGCAAAATAGGTCTTCTCTTTCCACCTCTATCTTCTCTCCTGGGAACTAAAGTTTGCTTCAGATTTCTCCTGTAGAGGATAGGACATAACTTGAAGTTATTAATATTTGTTGATATGAGTAATACTAGTTAAGAATGCATCTGGCTTATTTATTTTCTAAGATGGGCTGCTGCACACAATGCTAAGGCTTAATATGTTTTGTTTGCTTTTGACTCAGGGGGATCCCTTATTCAACAAATGTGTAGGAACCAGGCTATCCTCCAAGTTTTGAGCAGTGTCTCTTTTTTCTTACAAATCTGACATCTGTTTCTACCATTTTTTTGAAAAGTAATCTCGGAAAAATATTATTAAGTATGTTTTTACACAATTACTTCTGGACTTACTATGTAACTTTTTCAACTCAGTAAAAATATAGGTACTATATCTAGAAAGTAAATTCCCATGATCTATTTATAAATAGCAGAAAATATCATACTTTTAGTTTTTCTACTAATTTATGCCTAGCATTTCGCACTTTTTTAGTATCCTGTTCTCGTCCATCACTTATGCATGTCCATGTCAGAATTTATTGTACAACCAATGCAAGGCCTTTAAGATCCTTCATTCCCCAGCTATGATTGACTTATTTATCTTACAGGGATACAGAGAATGTTAATTTCTACAGCCCAAATTTATGTGGATATTTTATCCAGTGATGGCGTTGCTCTGATTCAAAAACTGTAGCCATAATGTTTTACTGTGCCACTTAATAACTTTTCAAAATGTAAACTGACCAGGGAATTCTGGAAGTTGAAGTCCACACACCTTAAATTTGCCAAGGTTGAGAAACCCTGCTTTAAAATACAAGTCCTGACAAACACGTTGACCAATTGTTACAGCAAATGCCCTCCCTTCTACAATTAATTATATCATTTTGTATTGATTTCTACTTGAAGAGCAGTGTTTATACTTCCTTTCTGATTTCTTTCCAATAGTAGTTACTGTTTCCTAAAACCATTTAGTTTGGCTGATGTATATATTTAATATCCCATCCTCTTTAGCATATCAAGACTAACTGAAAATTACATGTTTTTATGTAATGTATTCTGGGTTGGTTGCAAGAATTGAAGAATGTGATTATGGTTGGTTGTTCTTCCTATTCCAACAAGTATTGTTACATTAAGACATTTTCAGATCGGAAACAAAAGGGGTCATGCTAAAATTCTGTTTGCAGGTAATGCTTCCCTTGTAGCAACCAGGTATATAAGCAAAAAGAAACTTAACCAGATTGGCCACAGCAATTTATTTTCTAGACATTTGGATTGTCTTGGTCTATTAACTAAATGTGAAGCAAACAGACAAAAAAGCCAAGTAAGTTGTTATCGTGGCACAGGAAAAATATAAAACAGAGAAAAACACTATCCCAGTGTAATGTGAGCAAGGGACTAAAAGTAATAAAATGCCTGGAAAAGGAATGTTTTAGCCTGATGTCCAAAAAGCAGCAACAGAGGTGTATGTCCCTGGGGAACCCATTCCACAAGCCCCAAAGCCACTAACAGCCTTACTTCACAAAAATGATCAAAGTACTCATGAAGGTTCATAAGGGAGAAGGCAGTCCTTGATATTCTAAACCATTAAGAACTTAAAATCAGCCCCAAGACTTTGAATTGGGCCCCCAAAGGGACCCATATATATACAGAAGGCTTTTTTTCTTCCTGGAGGAAAGCATTGCTGGTAAAAGATTCAAGGGGAAACTATTATGATCTAGTTAATATGAAATTCAGGTTTTATAAGAGATTGCAAATATTGATTCAGACTACTGTACCTTATTGCTGATAATAAGGATCACACCTGGGATTTTTCTTGTGCAGACACTAGATCCCTCATGTTGTAGAGCCAATATAACAGTAGACTAAATTGTAATGATAAAAACCATGCCTGCTAGTAAGAAAGCAGCAGAAAGATAATCCTCAATTCAGTTTGAAAATTTAATGATTTAACATGATGATGACCCTTTTAAAAACTTAATTTATAGGGCCAAAATTAGAGGAGGTTTTTTAC